AAAACTACAGAAGCACTCATCAGTGAATAAATGTTTACATGTAAAACAAAATTGTCCTCAGATGTTAAAAAACGAAACAAATTGTCAATTGTGGCAACATGGATGAATCTAGAGTACAATGTGTTAAGTAAAATAAGCCAGGTACACAAAGACAAATATCACTTAATTTTACTTATATGTGGACTATTAAGAAGTCAAACTAATAGAAATAGAGAGAAGAATGAGGTTTACCAAAACTGAAGGTTAGCAATGGGGATGAATAAGAGGAGGAATAAGTTCTGGTGATCTACTGCACAGCATGGTGAATATAGTTAATAGGAACATATATTTCAAGGTTGATGACAGAGTGGATTTTAAACGTTCTCACCACAACGAAATAAGTGTGTCAGATAAGGAATATGTGAATTAGCCTGACTTAATCATTTCACCATGTATACATGTGTTGAAACATCAAATTGTACTTCATAAACATATACCATTATAATCTGTCAAGTAAAACAAAATAAAAAAATTTTGTCTTGTCCAACAGTATTTTTTTAAAAACCCTATATATTGAGCACAAGAGAAACACATTAAATTCAAAGATATCAACAGGTTGAAAGGGCAGGAAAAGATGTACAACGTAAACAGAACCATAACACAGATACACGGGCTGGCTGTACTAATATCAGACAAAAAAATTAAAACAAAAATGATACTAGGAATAAAGAGGGTCATTTATAACAAAAGTGTCAGCCAGGAGGACACCATAGCAATTATAGGTATACATACACCAAACAAATAAGCCCAACATCAAATAAAAATAATTAGAGAAGAAATTAAGGGTGAAATAGACTGTTCTATGTAAATATTAGAGATGTCAAGTGCAACATTCAATAACTGATAGAACTAAGAAAAAGACTGACAACGGTATAAAAGTCTTGGGCAACATTATAAATCAACTTGAACTTACAGATATGCATATATAGATACAACATATAGACACAACACCCAACAACAGAATACCCAATCTATTCAAGCCCATGGAACATACTCCAGAGAAGACCATTTGTGAGGCCATAAAATATGTTCAATAAATTTGAGGACTGAAATCAATGTATGTTCTCTGACCACAACAGATTTAAAGAGAACATTATTAACTGAATATTTCAATAGTCCACAATTATATGGAAATTAAACATCAAACTCCCAAACTCCCAGTGAGCCATAAAAATGTCACTAAAATTTGAAATATTTTGAGACTGAAAACAGCAACACATCATACCAAAAGTAAAAAAAGGCTTAGAGTAAAATTTATATTTGTAAATATATACATTTTAGAAAGATCTGAAATCAAACCTTCCAACTAAAAACCTAGATAAAAGGGTAAAATTAAACGTCCCCAAACAGAAAGAAAATAAAAATTAGAGTAAAAAATGAGAAATAAATGATGGTGCTGTACTGTCTGCCCACTGTTGCCAGAGATTTGGTGACAGAATTGTGGCAGATGGAAATGACCTCCCTGCCCAAAAGGACCCCATAACCTCTGCCTCCATCCACACCCCACAGGTTCTATGATAGACACCTTTTTGTCTTACTTGCTCATACCCATCATTTGGGCCTGGGTCTACCCCACCCCAAGGGCTCTGAGGGCAGACAGGGAGTCACCACAAAATCTAGAAGGCTTCTTAGGTAAAAACAGGCTCTGGGGCCATCTCTAGGTCTGGAAGCCTATACACA